CCCTGTGATCAAAGCCTTGTCTTCGCATGGTCGATCTCTACCGTGGGAGGACAGATACTTGCAAACAGGTCTCGCGGTTCCGAGTGTCTGACTCAACGGAAGTGCCTCACATGCACTGATTGTCATCAATTTTGGATGTAACAAGAAACTCAGGCAAGACCTGTGGTGGGTGGATGTGTTCTGAGCAGGTGCAGGTGCCAAGGGATGCGAAAAGGTCCCGTTTGGCAAATGTGGGAAGTGGCTCTGTGCAGGGAGGCCCAGGACAGGAGCTCCAGGAGTCAGTAGATTGACAAACGAATCTCAAGGTCCCCCCTTGGCATCCACGCAGGTCCTAGCCAGCTCTGCTCTCTGCCATGGTGGCAGATCCACTCCCAGATGCTCTACAACATGGGGTGGCACCGCTCTGGGTCAGAGGTCCAAGGGGCTGGGCAGTGAGGCTTGGGTGTGCTTTGGACACCTACTCTGGCAGGTGGGCAGGTGGACCAGCTTGGCTGGATGGTGCTGGCAGAGGGCAGTCCCCTCTGCGGAAACTGCACCCTAGCCCTGCCCTATTGGGAACAGGTACGGTCTCTGGGCGGGGTGAGGCCATCCCCAACTGTGTTGCTGAGGTCACTCATGTGGGGGAGGAGTGGGTATCTCAGAGGGCGCGTCCCGGGGGACTGCCCTTGCTCTCCTCTTGCACAGCACACCTGGCACCAGCAGCTTCCAGGTGATGGCATGTCTAGCTGTGTCCCAGCCCATGACGCCGGTGCTGTGAGTAAGCCCAGGTTACAGAGAAGGAGAGCAAGTTGTCTGTGGTGGACTAGAGCCAGGAGCTTCCTTTAGGTCCCCTAAGTGGGCACAGGCTCCCAAGGCTTTGAGCCATCCTCTACTGCTTTCCCTGGCCACAGAGAGCCAAATGGGAAATAGAGCAGCCAGGATTTGAATTATCACTCATATGGGATGGCAGGGTACTAGTCCCGTTGCAATTTCAGATGTAAAAAAAAAAAGAAAGACAGGAATATTCAAGTATTTCTCTGGTGTTCTAGAAGATTCCCCACATGTTAATATTTCATACCATTTCCTTGAAGTTCCCCTTCCCCAACCCCGCCTGTCCATGTCAGCCAGCTTGGGCTGCCCCGGGGAGCACAGCCCAGGGCTCACAGGGGATAGCTGTCCTCCCTCGCAGCCCCATAGGCGATCGCTGGGCAGGATCCCAGCAACCCCTGCCTCTATGGCTTGTGCAAGCCGCCTTCTGCCTGGGTCTCCCACCCCGACCCCATGTGTGTGCACCCCTGCCGTTTCTCAGGCACCCAGGTGTCCTCCCCTTTGACCAAGGACATTGGTCAGATGGGATCAGGGTCTACTCTAAAGACCTTATGTTTTCATTGATCCACCTCTTTAAAAAACTTACTTCTAGGATTCCACATGATGCTTCAATTTTTTAATCCTCCCCTTGCAAGAGCTAGTATCCCATATGGGCTCTAGTTTGTGTCCCAGCTATTGGACTTCCCAACCATCTCCCTGCCTGTGGCCTGAGAAAACAACAGAGAAGGCCCGGAGTCTTGGGACCCTGCACCCACATAGCAGACCAGGAAGAAGCTGTTGGCTTCGGACGGCTCATTTCCGGCTATTGTAGCCATTTGGGAGAGTGAACCAGTAAATGCAACATTTCTCTCTCTCTCACTCTCTCTCTCTCTCCTCTGTAACTCTGCCTTTCATATAAGAATCAAATATATATATTTTTAATGTAGACTACAGGGCCCAGTGTGGTAGCCTAGTGGTTAAAGTCAGATTGTCTTGCATCTGCCAGGATCCCATATGGGCACCAGTTCTAATCCCAGTGGCCCCACTTCCCATTCAGCTCCCTGTTTGTGGCCTGGGAAAGCAGTGGAGGACAGCCAAAAGCCATGGGATCCTGTACCCATGTGGGAGACCAAGAAGAAACTCCTGGCTCCTGGCTTTGGATCAGCTCAGCTCTGGCCGTTGTGGTCACTTGGGGAGTGACTCAGCGGATGGAAGATCTTCCTCTTTGTCTCTCCTTTACTCTGTAAATCTGACTTTCCAATAAAAATAAATATATCTTTTATAAAAAAAAAAGGTTGACTGTAGTGTTAAAGGCAAATGTTATGGACTAAGGTAAAGTTAACTACGATGTCCAGCGTAGACTATAGCATTGAAGATTGAACTGTATTCTCCTAAACTTGCATGTTGAGTCTTAATCCCTAGTTCCTCTAGGATTACTCTGAGTGCGTGACAAAGCTGCCTCAACATTCAAGCACGCAGGGAGCTAGTGGGCCAACTGTGCAGGAAGCCCAAGGCCTCTGAGCGAGACAGGCCAGAAAGAGGGAGGCCCGAGGCCCTGCGACAGAAAAACCTAGCAAGGGCTTTCAAATCGGTGGCGCAGCATTGTGGGTGAAGGGTGGCTGGGGCCGTCCCGAGGCCTCGTATTGGGGGGCTCACAGGCTCTGGCCTCCCCTAAAACCACCCCAGCCTGGGGCAGTGGAATCAGCAAGTGCAAGTAAGTGGCATTAGGGCGAGGTGGCCACTGGCCGGCTGGTGCTTCAGGCCCCAGGAACCGGAGCGCAGGCAGAGGGAGATGCAAGGCTTCCCTTCTGCCTGTGCAGCTGTGTCTTCCGACATCCCCCACCCCGCGCCCGTCCTCAGCTTCCTCCCCTGCTGGGGCTTACCCCAACACCTAGACCACGGCTCGCTGGACCTGGATTCAAACGGCAGCTCTGCGCGTCCCAGCCCAGCAGCACTGGGGGGCTATTTCACACACACATCTGATCCTTCAGCAGGCGTTCGGCGGGGCCTGCTGTGTGCCCAGCACTCTTCTAGGTGCTGCAGGTGCGCTGGTGAACAAGACAGCTTAGTTCTGGGCCTGGTGCTGTGGCATAGCATGTAAAGCTGCTTCCTACCTGCCTTTCTCTCTCTGTAAACCTGTCTTTGCAATAAAAATAAATAAATCTTTATTTGTTCTCTGTCTTCCCCAGCCAGAATGCTAAGTTTTATGAAGCCAAGACCTTGTCAATCTATTTTTTAAAATGCACATTTATTTATTTTGAGCCTGACACAGTGGCCTAGCAGCTAAGGTCCTTGCCTTGAATGCGCCAGGATGTGTTATGGGCACCAGTTCTAATCCTTGCAGCCAAGCTTTCCATCCAGCTCCCTGCTTGTGGCCTGGGAAAGCAGTCAAGGACAGCCCAAAGCCTTGGGACCCTGCACCCGCATGGGAGACCCAGAAGAGCTCCTGGCTCCTGGCTTCGAATTGGTGCAGCACCAGCCATTGCGGTTACTTGGGGAGAGAACCATCAGACGGAGGATCTTCCTCTCTGTCTCTCCTTCTCTCTGTATATCTGACTTTGTAATAAAAATAAAGTAAATCTAAAAAAAAAAAAAGCATGTCAGAGGTTGAGGTCGGCGCAATGACATAGCAAGCTAATCCTCTGCCTCTGGCTGTCGCAGTCATTTGGGGAGTGAGTCATCGGATGGAGGATCTGTGTCTCCTCTCTCTCTATATATATCAGACTTTCCAATAAAAATAAATACATCTTTAAACATATATATGCATACATTTATTTATTTAAAAGGAAGAGAGAGAGAGAACTTCCATCTGCTGATTCATTCCACAAATGGCCACAGTGGCAAGAGCTGGGCCTGTCTAAAGCCAGGAGCTTCTTCTGGGTCTCCCACGTGGGAGCAAGGGCCCAAGCATCCTCTGCTGCTTTGCCAGGTGCATGAGCAGGAACCAGGATCAGAAATGGAGCAGCTGGGACTTGATCGGATGCTCTGACACAGGATGCTGCCGCCACAAGCAACAACTTCCCCCCCCCCCCCAAAGGCCTGTCTCAGGGTGATGGCTGAGCCAGGACAAAGCTGGTGTTTGGAGAAGAAAGTAACAAATGCAAAGCCCCTCCCCCACCCCCGGCATCCTGCTGGGAACAGAAAGAAGGGCAGGAAGTCTGGGATTCACCAGGTGGGAGGATCAGGCAGCAGAGGGTTCCAAGAGGAGGACGGCAGCTTCCCTGGGGTTGTAGGACCGCAGACCACAGAGGGTGCTAAGCCAGCAGTGGCAGCGTGTAAAGCAATCTAATTTTTGCTTTGAGAAGGATGAGAAAGCCTGTGGGAACAAAGCAGGGAAACTGCCACCATGGCCCAGTGAGCTGCTGGTGCCTGGAGCAGGGCTGGAGGTGTGAGCAAAGATGGGGTTAGGAGGGGGTTGGAGGCAGAACTGGCCTGGCGCGAGGTGGAAAGCACCCTGGTAGATGCACCTTGAGGTGCCAGCGGAGGTGGGGTTGATGGTCAGGAGCCCGACGTGGCCGCCCTGTCTGCCATGGGGAGGCTGGGCGCAGCTTGGCTATGAACCTGCTACTCCAGAGAAGCTGTCGGCCCTGAACACACACAGATGGCATTGCAGAGCGCAGCAAGGCTGGGCTCGAGGTCCCGCCCCACTCCCCGTCCCAGCTCCCGTGCTCCCACATCTGCGAGGCAGCAGGTGAGGGCTGGGAAACCAGCACGCAACTTCGAGCTTGTAGCGCAGCCTTAGCTGTGGTCAGCACTTGGGGAATAAACCAGCAGGTGCAAGCTCTCTCCTTGCTGTCTGTGTCTGCTTTTCAAAGCAATAGAAAAATACATAAATTCAGAAAACCACGGGACTGGATGAGATCATCGAGGCTAAAGGTCGGAAGGCAAAGCAGCAAGGGGACCATGGACTGTAAAACAAACCCAATGACACCTCCGCCCATGAGGCTCTCGCGAGGCATCACGTGAACGCGTGGGGGGGGGCGCGGAGGGAAAAAGCTGCGGCCCCGGGGCGGGGCCTCCCAGAGGGGGCGGGCCTCCCAGAGGGGGCGGGGCTTCCCGGGGCGGCTTGGCGGTGACGTCACCGCATGACTGGGTTTTTATGAATGAAAAGAATCCTGTGAGTGAGTAATTCCGGGAAACTCGCCTTACAACTCCTTGCTCCCCGGCCCCCTGCGCCGCCCGCCCCATAACAAAACTCGGCGCGGCGCTCCGGGACACCCGCCGCCGACCGACCGGAGAGGAGACGCGGTCAGGGCGCCGGCCGGGACCGCGATCGGGACAGCGGCGAGACGCGCGCGACGGGCGCCGGGCCTAGCGGGGCCGAGAGCCGGTGAGGGATGGCGGGTGGCGGGCCGGCCGGGGCGGGTCGCGGGGCCCGGAGGCGGCGGAGGGTCTCCGCGCCCGGGATGGAGCGGGGTGGGGGTCGTGCCGGAGGGTGGGCGCGCAGGGCCAGCTCCGTCCGGGGCTGTCCTGCCGAGCCGCGGGGACCGGGATCCGGCTGGCACGGCTGGGGCGGCAGAGGGCCCCCCAGGAAGGGCAGGCGGGCGCCGGCCAGCCGGGCGGGGGCTGTGGCGCGCACGTCCGGGACTCCGGGCTGGTGGGGGTGCGCGGGCCGACGGGGAGCGGCCCTGGCCCCGCGCCCACCGCCGTGCGTGCGCGGTTTGTTTACGGCCGACGGCTGCTGTGTTCCCTGGCGGGCGTCCAGGTGTCTCGCCCCGGGCGCGCGCGCCTGCGTGAGTGTGTGCACGTGTGCGTGCGTGTGGCCAGGGAGCTAGTGTGTTTGCATCCCTGGGAGAGGGCGTGCCCCTGAGTGTCCACAGTGACGGATGCAGAAGAGTCTGAGGGAAGGCGGCTCCGTCCCAGGTGCTCCCCCCACACCCCGGGTCCAGGAATTTTCCCTCCGCCCCCCCAACCTTTCCTACCAGCTAGGGCTGCCCCTCCCACTGCCCTCTCTGTGGAGTTTCCCAGGGCTACAGCCATGGGACCCAGTGTTTGTCCTTGGGGTGGGGCGAGACGTGAAAAGACCTCACCCAGCTGAGAAAAACCACCTCTCACCTGGCCCCCTGGTGAGGGGGGCGGGGCGGAAGAAAGTGTGGGCTCCTGGGCTCAGTGGCCCCTCAGGACCCATTCTTCGTGCAACCCCAGGGCTGTCCATCTGTAACTCAGACAACCCCTGGCACAGGTGGTGTGGGAGGGAGGGGGCGAGAGCTGGGGTGTCCTTTCTGCCCTGGTTGGGAGTGGGGTGGGTTCTAGAGGCTGCACCTGCTGGGTCGTGGAACTTGGGAGGAGCTAGTGTCTACCCTCTGGACCAGAGCGCAACTAGACTGGACGAACTGATGGACAGCTGTGCACCACAGCCTCACTAGGGCCATCGCGGTGTCCTTACTGGGACCAGGCAGGGTCATGAGCGGTAAGGACAGGAGCTCTTACTCGATGAAGGGTTAGGTGTGGGAATGGCAGACCCTGCCCTGGGCCCACTGGATGGGCAGCTGCTTTTCCCTCTTCCCTCCCACGGCCCAGAACCAGAGGGGAGCGGGGCAACTAAATCTGCTAGGGGCAAGAACGAATCGTCTCTTCACTTTGAATGTTTCCCGGCCCCCATGGTCGGGGATCATGAAACACCCGCCCCCTGCCTGGTGCAGCAGGGTGAGGCAGCCTCGGGGGCAGCAGGTGGCTGGTGGAACAGGAAGTGCTGGCACCCTCTTGTCCGGAGAGGGAAAGCCAGAGCCAACAGGCGAGGGCTAGGAGTACACTGGGTTGAGTGACAGGCATTGTGGCTGGGAGCCAGGAGCCAAGGCCGGGCAGGGAACATCCCCAAATAGGGCCGAGGGTCAGGAGCAGAGGGGAAGTGGCGACTCTGTCGTGGTAGAAAGTTAGCCCTGGAAGCTTCAGTCTCTGCTAGATTGACCCCAGGTCCCTGGTGCTTGATGCCCTCAACCTTGCCTTGCCCGTACACACACACACACACACACATTCATGTGCTGGCAGCCCGAGATCTGTGGGAGGAAACAGAGCTTGGCCTGAGGGTCCCACAGTGTGGGCTGGGGGTAGGGGACAGCCATCAGGGCAGCGTTTGCTGCTCTGTGTCAGTCCCCACCCTCCTGACAGCTCCTGGTGGAGAGGGGGAGGTGGCCTGCTGTGGTCGTGGTCCAGCTGAAAGAGGAAGTGGCCCCTGGCTGAACAAGAGCAGAAGCGAGGTGATTGAGGTTGACACCCTGAAAGTTTATGTCCTGCTGCCACCACCTCTAGGAAGCCTTCATGGATTGCCTTATCCTTGCTCTAAGGCTTCGGTTTTGGAGGGGAGGTTTGGCACCTTGGGAAAAGGAGCCTCGATATGAGTAGGGGCAGAACTGGGACTGGGACCCCCGATGATCACTTCCCTGCCATGCCTGGTCCCCCCTTCCCTGCTCCCCTTTCAGCAGGGAGGAGCTCCCCCAGTGCTAGCTGCCAAGACCCAGGAAAACACATTTTTTCCCTCTGTCCTCACAGCACAAGGGAGCCTGTGCCAGTGGGTGGGCCGTCTCCCGCCTGCCTCTGGGGTGGATCCAGGGGCAGAGGCAGGGAAGGGGTGGGACGAGGAGAACCTCTGGCTCCTGATTGGATGAGGCTGCTGTCCCTCCCCACCCTCCCAAGAGAAAGCTTGTTCTCCAGGACTCCAAAGAAGGTTAGGAACCTGCAGAGCTGGAGGTGGGCTCTGGCGAGCAATGGAGGGTGATGGACAGTGGGAGAGCATGGAGCCAGGAATCGGAGATGGGGTTCTAGTCCTCCGGCTGGCTTGGCTACTGTGGGAACCCTAGGCTGAGCCAGGCTGGCAGCCCTGAGGTTAGCGGAAAGTTCCACCTGCTGGTGACTGTCCCTTGGTGCCCGGCTACCCTGGCTGAACCAGGACATTCCTGGACAAGCCTGGGTGCTTCTGTCTGGGCTAGAATAAAAGGGGGTGGGGTGGGGCCTGGGGCCGGAGTAGCAGTACCAGGAGGGGGATGGGGGGTTAGGATGAGCAGGTTCAAGGCCAAAGTTCAGCAAAGACTTAGCATCACAGTCAGCACCAGCAGGCATCTGGAAGAAGCCATGGCCAGCGGTTCTGTCCGCTGTGTTGAGAAGGACTCACTTCCTGGGGAAGGCGTGTGGGCTTCACCGGGGAGGGAAAGGGCCCAGGGCGGGGGCAGGGGTGTGGTGGGATGAGCCAGCCTCTTGCAGCTCCTGATCTCGTGGGAAGCTGCTGGTGTTACACACACACACACACACACACACACACACACACGGAGCTCACAGTCATCCTTACTCAGCAAGGGGGTGGGGAAGATAGCATGGTGACCCCCCCACAAAGGCAGTTCAGTGTTGGGCTTGGCAGCCAGCACAGGCCTTCCCTGACCCCTGAGGATCACCTACACAAGGAGAGAATTCCCTTCATGCCCTGTCCCTCAGTGCAGTACAGATGTCACTCAACCCTTCTAGACAATCAGCAAGGGAGCAGATATGGGATGTCACTTGCACATCGTGTCCTAGCAGAGCCACGCTGGGAGGGAGGAAGTACACGTGGGTCAGGGTGGTCTCCATCACAAATTCTCCCCTAAGCTGGCTGCGCGGCCTTGGGCTGCACTATTGCCTTCTCTGGGCATCACCCGACTGTCGTCATAGGGAACTGGCATTTGGTCCAGGGCCCTACAGAATACCTCCCTGTTTTGGGGGGCTACTGTGTGACTTCAGGCAAGTGAGACCCTCTCTGGACAACTCCTGCAGAGAGCAAAGTGGAGACCCAGAGAGCTAGCATCTCATCCAAGGTCAGAAGCCTGGAGGAGATAGACCCAGGCATGCCTCTATTCCATGTCCCTCTCTCTGCTCCCCATTCAGCACCTTGCCTTTCCCTAACATGTACACCAGCTCCACCAATGGAAAGGGATGTAGGTAGAGGCCAGGGCCCGAGGTTTTCCCACACTGTCTCTGGACTGGGGACTCAGTCTGGACACTGACCAGCTGGGTGAGATGTCAGTGACCGTCTGGTGGAGGGACAAAGAAACAGACCATGGTCACATGGGGGGGGCAGGGGAGAGGGTTTGGAGAAGGACATGAGGTTGAGGGTAGAGGTGCCTAATAAGACCTTAGGGTCAAGGAGGGCTTCCTGGAGGAGATGTGCATATCTGGGACACAAGGATGAATTGGAATCTGCTGGTCAAAGCAGAGATGAGGAAGGGGGGAAAGTGCCCTGGGGTAGGGGTGACCTGGAGCTGGAAGGAGCAGGTGGGAGGAAGTGGAAGAAATTCCGCAAGGCTGGGGAGCAAATAAGGCAGAAGAATGGAGGCAAGGAGCCTGGGGTGCCCTGTGGCTGGGTCTGGAGCCACAGCAGGTTCTCCTTTGGTGATGGGCAGCCTCCCTGGTGACTGTGTGGGCAGGTGAGCCAGGGCCGCCAGCAGGGGCTTGCTGGGACCTCCTCAGTGTGTGGCACCAGGGATGCCCAAGGGAGAGAGACCACTCTGACAGGAAGGCATGGGCAGACGGGATCCAGACATGCACAGGTGGCATCTGAAAGGGCAGGACCCTGTGATTGGTCTGGGAATAGAGGCAGAACAGACAAGGAGAGCGGTCTCCACAGGGAACGCATGGCCAGGCAGGGAAACTGAGGCCAGAGCTCAGGCTGAGCCCTGTAGTTCAGTAATGCAGGCTGCAGCTCGGGGGTGCACCCCCTAAAGCCAGCCTGAGCAAGCCTGACTCGGGACCCCAGCCACATCACAGGAAGCTTCCAGTGCCTGCCCACCTGCCTGCCCAAGAGCCCAGTGACTGCCTGGCCTAGAGGATCCCTCGAGGTGCCAGCTTCCCTGCCTTGGATCACTTCAGCCCGGCCTTGAAGCTGCCAGGATGCAGGACAACCTCGGTCCTGTAGATCCACCATTCACAGACACCGGCTAGATGTGTACAGGAATAAAGACAGATGGTAGAACATTGCCAGACTAAAGTGTGAGGCCGAGAAGGAAGGCAGGATGTGTGCACACACTCATGAGTGCGCATGTGTGTATACGTGTATGTGCATGCGCTCCAGTGGTTGGGACCTGAAGGGGCCTGGAAAGGTAAGCTAACGAGCTCTGTGGCCTTCTGCAGAATGAGAGTGCCGGGCGAAGGGAACAGCCAGTGCCAAGGCCCTGGGGCAGAGGGGGCATGGTGCCCTTGCAGGAGGTGCATATGACTGGAATACAGGGAGTGGGGCTGGGCCCCCTCAGCAGCTGCAGCCCAAGAGCCCGTGCTGGGCATACCCTGGTGGTCATGATGACGAGCTTCAGCTGGCAGCCCTGGCAGGCTCCTGGCATGGCCTGGTTTACCTGCTGCCCTGTGTCACCCTGGGGATGGAGGGGAGTGTGGTGCGGAGGACACTGTGAGGTGCCTTCCCCAAGGTCCAGCTGTTTCTGGACCGAGGGCCATGGCCTTTCCATTTCTCCAATGTCCACAGGGTACATGCTGACCCTGCCAGGCTGTGTCCACTCAGGGAGCCAGTGCCCGACCCTAGGCCCTTATTGCCCCTGCCTCTGCCAAATGGGATTCTTGCTAAACGACCTGTCTAGGACACCAAGCCTCCCATCACAAACCAGCTCCCTGCTCTGTTCTCCCCAGCCCCTTATACCTCAGCTCTGGCCAGCGGTGCTACTATGCAGGGGCTTCTGAGAGGCCCTCTCCTGCCCAGAGCAGTGGGCACCCTCCATGAGTATTCATTCAGCTCTGTTCCAAGCACCATGTCTGGGAAAATAGTAGCTGCTCAGTGAATACTTGTTGGCCACACCTGAGGCTTGTGGTAAGGCCCTGGGTGCGGTCAGCAGCTCTTAGCAGTGTCCAGGCTCACTGCCCTGTTGAACACTTCCCCAGTGGTTTGGGCAAGGCTTGCAGGAGGTCCTCACGCAGGAGGCTTAGGGGCCAAGGAAGACAGGGGCTGGGAGGGGGTGATCCTCCTGTGTGTTAACGAGGTGCTGGTGGGTTAGTGATGGTCCTTGGCTGTGCGCCTGTTCTGTGTACTCTTCTGTATGTAGGTTACATTTGAATGCAAAGTTTTTAAAACTTAAGTCAACTTGCACCAGGGTGCCCCAGGGCAGAATGGCGAAGGGCAGGAGTGCCCATTCGTGGGGTGTGGGTTTGTCAGGCACTGCTGTATTCTTCCTGCCTAATTTAGGGGATGAAAAGGAAGATGCCAACTAGGAAGCCAGACAAAGGTCAGCAAACGCACAAATCAGAGTTGGGTTGGTGGAGGTGACACAGGGAGTGCTTAGCCACGTGCCTAGGAAGACGGTTGCAATGAGGTTGACATTAGAGTCACTCTGAGGAGACAGGAAAAAACAGCAGGTGCAGGGGGCCCAAGGCTGCAGTGGGCCATGCAGGGAGGTCACTGCAGCTGGGCCAGAGGAACGTGCTGGTTCCAGGTTCAGTTCCGACAGAGGGCCCTTGAACGCCAAGGCAAGGAGTTCGGCTTTTTTACTCCAGGTTAGGCAAAAAGCAACACAGGACTTAGAAGGCCACATTTCTCCTCTCTAGGTCTCCAGCCAGGAGGACACCTGCTGCCAACATGTCTGGGGATCCCTTATCCAGCAAAGCTCTGAAGGTGAGGAAGCGGCCCCACCCAGCCTCCCTTTCCAACTTCCCCTTTCCTTCCTGGAATCCCCCCAGAGAGCTCCGCAGGGTGGCAGGCACTCGTGACCTCATGGGAAGGGCCCCAGGGCTGCACACTTCTCCCCGCTCAAAGGTGCTTCCCGGCCTGGGTTTCTCGGGGGCCAGATCGAAATCCAGGACGCGTCGGGAAGTCTTTAAGGCGGAGTAGGGGGAGCGTGGGGCGGGAGACCAGCGGGACCCGCAGCGGGAGTGTGGCCCGGACTTCAAGATCCCCCTGCCCGCAGATCAAGCGCGAGCTGAGCGAGAACACGCCGCACCTGTCGGACGAGGCGCTGATGGGGCTGTCGGTGCGCGAGCTGAACCGCAACCTGCGCGGGCTTTCGGCCGAGGAGGTGACGCGGCTCAAGCAGCGGCGCCGCACGCTCAAGAACCGCGGCTACGCCGCCAGCTGCCGCGTGAAGCGCGTGTGCCAGAAGGAGGAGCTGCAGAAGCAGAAGTCGGAGCTGGAGCGCGAGGTGGACAAGCTGGCGCGCGAGAACGCCGCCATGCGCCTGGAGCTCGACGCGCTGCGTGGCAAGTGCGAGGCGCTGCAGGGCTTTGCGCGCTCCGTGGCCGCCGCGCGCGGGCCCGCCGCGCTCGTGGCGCCCGCCAGCGTCATCACCATTGTCAAGTCCACTCCGGCCGCGGGGCCCGGTCCCGCCCCCGGCCCGGCCCCCGGCCCGGCCCCCTGTTCCTCCTAGTGCTCTCTGCGGCCACGCCCCCTTCCACCCCTTCGCCCATCCCAAAGTGCCTAAGTGAGGTGTCTGCCCCGGGGTCCCCTTACCCTGCAGTCACTGCCCCCCCCCCCCCCGTGGCTATCACACATTCCTTTCCCGGACCCTGTCTTTCTCTTGCTGCCTCCGAAACTGGGACCCAAAGCCCCTGGGGGAGGGGGAATCTTGGTAGGCTGAGGGGGTGGGGTTCCGGCGTGGCTTCCCCTGGTTGGGTTGACGCTTTTTGGACTAACAGGACACAGGCGGCTCAAGGGTGGCCCTTCCCAAGGACAATGACCAATTTGTGCCAATAAGCCCCCGTCCCAGGGGCTGCTATGCTTTAGAGCTGCCCGGAGCCCCGGCCCCATCTGGGTTCGGGTTGTGGCGGTGTCTGGCCTGATAAAGTTCAGTCACTGGAGCCCAAGTGCCACCTGGGGGGGGGGCGGGGAGGCGGATCTGCACAGGATGTGACCGCACTGGTTTAGTGGATGAGCTGGAACCAGAAAGTGGGGTGTGGGGCTCCCTGGTCTGGGAAGCTGGCAAAGCAAAGCAAGCAGCAGAGGGAGAGAGAAAGTGACACAGATGGAAGAGAGGGCAGGAGCTGGCTTGGTGCAAGCCAGGGCTCTCCCTGCAGCAGGGAGCCCTGAGCAGGACAGCCAAAGAGAAAGGGGACAGTGAAGGTGACTGCTGTGGCAGGTGGTGGGTGGGGAGTGACCACTATGGCTGACGGGGAGGGGCTGTCCTTCCCTGACCCCCATGGGCTGGGGACCGTTGCCCCATGGCCCTGCTCCTGCGAACGCTCCCTCCCCACTGTTTATTTATTGCACGAATCTAAGTTATTCTCCCCAGCCGGAGGCCGCGTTCTCGCTCCTGGACAAGGCAGCACATGGCCCTAAGCTGGGGTTTATATTTTATACCTGCAAATAGATCACAATATTTTATCTTATATTTAGGGAAAGCTGGATGGCAACTAGACAAAAAGTTTAAAAAAAAGTTTAAGTGCCCGGCCCCCGGAATTTATTTATTTTCTGACTTACAGTGAGAGTTATCTGCATTCTATATTTTGTAGACTTTCAGAATAAAGTTCTCCTTTTTCCACAAAGTGTGTGTGTGTTTGTGCTGAGGGCGGGGAATTTGGATAGAGGGGGGGCGCCAGAAGAAAAATCCCAGGTTTAGGTGTCACCTTCACAGGACACGGTCTGATTTCCTCCAACAGAGTAGAAATACTCCCCCATGCAGTAGGCACGGGAAGCGGCCTCGCCTTTGCCCGACTTGCCCACATGAAGCCGAGCTGCACAGGAGTATCGGGAGGAGCCAACTGGTCTGCAGGTCTTGGAAAGCGGGGCTGGGCTCTGGCTGTCCGGTTAGCCGTGGACCGCCGGGTGCTGACAGCATCCTGAGCTTCACCGTCCCCACCCGGAGGTGAGGGAGCTCTAAGGTGGGATGAGGACACTGTGGGAGGGGAGGCTGCTCCTAGGTGCCCAGGAATGCCCAGCTCAGGCCAGCGGAGGGCTGGAGGAAGGGGCGGGCCGTAGGGACTATTCATCCTGCTCCGAGACAGTTAGGAATTTCCCCCACCCACGTTGCATTCCTGAGCGCCCCTGTCAGCAGTGGGCCAGGTCCCAAGAAGGCCTCCAGCACCTCGCACGCGACGCCCAAGTCCCTGGGCGGGCATTTGGGTGTGGGGGTGGGAGCTGTCAGGTGGGGCGGGGGTCCTACCCTTGGCTGGGAGACAATCAGGGTCTTTGGGTCAGGCCCTGTGGGGAAAGCAGAGGTCCCTGTGACCAGGTGGCTGAAGTGGGGCAGGGAGGTGGGGGGCAATAGGACAGCCCCACCCCCACCACCTGCCCATCACACTCAGGAAGGGGGAGGGCTTCCAGACACACCCCTCCCCCATACAACACAGGCAAGGGGTGCACAGAGCTGAGCCAGAGGCAGGTGCGATTTCAGTACAATCTATATTATCTCATATATATATATATACTTCTTCCTCACTTTATTTGCTCACTTCTGTCACACATTTAAAATGTCGCTGAGACCAAAATAGAGCGGCTTTCTGGTGGGACTCGGGGCAGTCATACGAGATATAAAACTAGGGGCTCTGTCTTCTCATCTGGCATACAAGGAATTTTTCAAGTATTTTTTATGTACAAAGAGCTACTCTATCTGGAAAAAAAAAAACTAAAATAACATAAGACAATGTAGGTTATGCATTCTGGGAAGGAGGGCGGGAGCAGTCAGATACACATTCCTGTCTCCCTACCACTGTGTCCCCAGGGACCCCCATCCCAGCACTGCCCCCACTCCCGCCTCCCATACTCGTGGACAAAAGTGCCAGGTGGGCATAATGCGGGGAGGAAGGGGTCAGCAACACACTTTGGCCTGGAAGGAGAAAGGAAACCAAGACAGGGAGATGAGATGCATGATCACCCACGCAGAAGGGGGTTTGAGAGCTGGCTCCCAGGGCCCTCCATGGCGGCTGTGGCCACAGGCTTCCTGGGCTAGACCCATCCCACACACTGACTGCAGTGAAAGCCTCATGGCTGGGGTTCCCCATCCTCCCCACCTCGGGCCCAAACCCAGCACCCTCTGGGTGCCACGACGCCGCACCCATCTCAACGTGTTCCAGCGTGAGGCTCCTGCGATGGGCCCATGCAGCTGGGCCAGCGCGGGGTTATGACCCTGAGGAGCCCAGGTGTCTCAGAATGACAGGGGTCAGAGAGGAGACAGGTAACTCTGGCCAGGAGTGCCGGGCAGGCACTGCAGAGCCCTGTGAGTGCCAACAGCCTAGGAGGAATGTCCCAGCACAGACTGGGGGTCGGGAGGGAGCGTTCATATGTGACTAAGGCACAGAAGAGATGGCCCGGGGCCACATGAGGCAGAGCACCAGGCCCTGTGTGGACAGGGGCCTGGGAGAGGGGTCGGGGACATCTCTCCTCCCACCTCCCACCTCCCACTGCATGGCCGCCCGTCCAGTCCTCTCCTGGACACTGGCCTGGCCTGCGGGGATTCAGACCCATCCTGTGAAACCAGAGGGACCCGGCAGAAGCTTGGGTTCCACTCCAGAAGGAGGACTGGGAGGCAAGGGCTCAACAAATGCCCCATCAAGAGGGAGGACCCCAGGGAACAGGCAGGAGTCAGTGGTAGCTACAGACCAGGGGTGGGTGGGGAGTGGCCCCTACCAGGGTGCCCAAGAGAAGGGCACCACCTTCTTCCTGGGTGGAGCCACAGTACTTGGGGTCTGGCTTGGACCCTTCTTGCAGCATGCCAGGCAGACTGGGACAGAAGGGAACCTCGGGTACCCACATTCCCTCCTCCTGCCTGGGGCAAGGCAAATGGAGGTGGGTGGAGTGGGGAGCAGGCCGGAGGCGCTGGGGCATGTGGGGGATATTGCACGGTGCACAGGGTGGGCATGGCCTGCTAACCCTCAGTAGGAAGCTGGTTGTGGGGGGAAGGGGAGTAGAAGTTGAAGTTGCAGCTGTTGGTCCCCACGCACTGGATCCCATGTGCCGCCACAGCAAGCAGGCTACAGGGGTACATGCGGCTCCATGTCCTCCTTCCTGGCATGGGTAGTGCAGTGTTGGCCATGTATAAATATTCCTGAAGACTCCTAGGTGAGTCTGGGCTGTCCGCCACAGACGCGCAGGGGCAACCCATTCCCGGACAGCGATATGTGAGCATTTCTGGTCCAATAAATAAGGGGCAAGGCCAAAGCTGTGCCAGCCACCTCCTGGCCTGGCTGTGCCACCAGCCCGGGGCCCTGGTGCACAGACTGTTCTAGAATTCATCATCAGAGCTGAGCAGGAGCGTCTTCTCGTTGTCACGGGCGCCACTAAGGCTGTGTGAGCGGGAGAGGCTGTGGGCACCGCCACGCCAGGTGGGCCCAGGCTCCAGGGTGGACTGTTGCGTGTACTGCTGGTAGGCGGGCGAGAAGTTGTGGATGGCGTCCTGCACAATGTCGTGCGGGTTCATGGTCTCCTTGAGGCTGCTGGAGATGCTCTTCATGGGGGCACAGCGGCCTGCGGGGCAGGGGCGGGAGTGGCAGTGAGGGGCTGGCTAACCAGGCACGCTGCTCAGCCCCTGCCCTGAATCCCGCACTAGGCGACACTTCAATGGTCTTTCAATCAACCCACCTCCCCTAGAAGGGGCAGGCAGGGGCTAAGAGCAGAGTGGCCAGAGCAGGGAAGTGGTGTCTGGCAAAGGGCAGGCACTGAGCCCAAGATGCCCCCCCCACAAAGAGGCCAGGCTGGGGTGCTGGAGAAGACAGTGTGGGGTCCCCTCCACTCTGGGACACAGGACTTGTCTGCTCCATGAGGAGCAGGCAGGCCTGTCTCTCGGCTCCTGCAGACACTCCCCGCAGGCCACCCCAGGGGTCCAACTCTGGACCCTTCCCCACCCTTGGCCTTCTTCACCATAGTGACAGCGCTGATGTCCCTGCCACTCCATGAACACACAACTGTGCCCCAGACCAGGGCAGGCCATGTTCCAAAACAATGAGACCAGCACAAAAGCAGGCAAGCTTTACCAGCAGTGCCTGGGTGGGCAGGCGGGCAGGCAGGTGTGCTGGGCTCACTGCCCTCCCTCCCATCCCCAACAGTGACCAGAAGGGGTGGGACACAGAGGAGGGGCTATAGACAGAGGAGTGACAGTGACCAGAACCGACGTGCAGGACAGACGTGCAGACTGAGAGCAGGACCTACCGTACGGGCCATATGTCGGTACTGCCCACGGCCAGACCCAGGGCCAATGTAGGGCAAGGGGGGCGGGGAGAGAAGCAGAGGGACAGAAGACAAGAGACAGCTGAGTGAATGCCACGCCCCCGCCCTGCCATCCCACCCCCGCCCTGCCAGGTACTCTGGGGAATCCAGCTGTCCACACGCTCTAAGGGGGTGGCCTCACTAGGCAAGACCCCTTCCATGGTGCTCATACAGGGAGGGGACCCTGGCTGATGGGGTGGCAGGCTCCCCTCTGCAACTAAAGCACAACTCCTACCCCGCCTTCTCTTCAGGCATGGCTGGAGCACCCCCTCTTTGCGCAACTCACAGCACTCTGCCCATGAGAAGGAGGCAAGGCCTGAGTGAGCAGGTGGGCAATGCCTGGCTGCACGCAGAAGCAGGCTGGCAGGGAAGAGCAGTCAGCAGGGTGTCCAGGGGGGCAGCATGGGGTTTGGTTGGCCAGGGCCAGCACCGTCCCTTAGTGCCTTGGGATGGCCCCAGGCTCCAGGCCCAAGGGGACATTCCCACGGCAGGTGCTGCCAGAACAGGTCCCGGGGCCCCACCACCTAGGGTCGAGGCAAAGGCAGGGGCAGGAGGGGGTTGCTGGGTCCTTCCGGTGGGGGTCTGCCTGGAGATCCTGGCCAGCAAGGTTGGGGTGACTAAACGATGGGCAGAGCAAGGGGCAGTGACTAAGCACCCCCAGGCAGCAAAGGAATCATCCTGCATGGGACAGGAACAGGGCAGAGGGGAGGGTGTGGAGCAGGGAGCCCCTTTGGCCACCAGGGTTTGTGACCTGTCACATGAAGGATACGAGCTGAGGGTGCAGCACATGTGCTTGGGGCTTGCTCCCTGAGGGCCTGCTGCATTTGGCTGGGAAAGCTGGCCACACACATTCCCAGCATCCTCTCTGTCCTCCCAGAACACACCCCTTCTAGGCCCGCAGAACACCCCTGCCCCCGCACAGGTCCCAGTCCCATGGGGCACCAGGTGGTGGAGCAAGGGTGGGGACCAGACAGGCAATGGGGCTTCAGAAGCTCTCCAGCGCTTGATCATGGTCAGTTCTGACAAGGAGACCAGCAGGTAGGAACACCCACCCTGAACCTGTGCCTGAGAGCCCACAGGATCACTGGTTTTGTTTTCTAAAGAACTTCAGACACCACGAATTAGGGGCCCCAGTGGAGCACTGCTGTGTGGTGCTAGCTGTCAGCAGGCCCTAGGGAGCCCATCCTGGGCTCCAAGTTCGGATCTGCCATGGGACCCATCAGCAGTGTCGGCAGTCAGGGCATGGTTCTCTCCTGGCCTTGTCACCCCCTGCCCCTAGACCCTGGGAGTCCAGTGACCTGAGCCGACCCTCCTTGGAGGTGAGCAGGTCCTGGCTCTTACCTTGAGCATCGAGCCTCTTGTCAGCATAGACCTTGTAGGTGAAGGCATGCCGCAGGGCCAGGGCTGCGAAGAACATCTCCACACAGATGATGAAGTCCTGGTAGCCGGCGGCCACGGTGCCCTCGCCCACAGACACGCGGGCTGAGTGGATCTTGGGGATGGCCCCGCACTTCTCCAGGATGGCCAGCAGCATGCCTGTATGGAGAGGCATAGCCTGGCCCCAGCTCCTCTGTCCGCAAGCCCCTGGCTCGAGGGGGGACAGGGAGGGGGACACAAAGCCCCACTCCCCAGCTCCCGGTCGGCCACCAGTACCCATGAAGAAGCCCCCTGCCCAAGTCCCCTGGGAGCTCTGTGAAAGGCTCTCTGCCCAGACCTTGGCCCCCAGCAAGTGCCCAGTACATTGTGGCCCCCTGAGCTCCAGGCCAGGGTCCTGCCCCTCCGCCCCCAGGATGGCCTCACCTTGCCAGAAGGAGAGGAAGATGACGGACTTGACCATGAAAAACTTGAGGACGGGGCTGTAGGGGCTGAGCAGCTCTCGGGTGGCAAAGTAGAAGAGGAAGAGCGCGTAGAGTGCCAGGCTGACAGAGATGTTGTAGATGATGGTCACGTACAGGTAGCCACTGGTGACACTGCGGAATGAGGCAGGTGCAGGCTGGGGTGGCCCTGGGAGGGACGCAGCCTCCCTGCCCTTCCCTGTGTGTACCCCACAGCCCCTCGAGCTGCAGAAGGGAGGCAACTGGAATCGCAGGAGACAGGCAACTGCAGGGGTGCAGGGTGGTACCCTGAGGACAAGCTAGCCCTGGGGCCACTCCTGATGACTGCCAGCCGGGAAGCCAGGGACTTGCCGAAGGCCCCCGCCTGGTGGGTGGCACTAGCCTTGCCTTCCTGTCTGGGACTTGGACGGGTTACCTGTAAGATCATGATGGGCATGCTGCCACCTGTCTGGGTGAGGTGGTCGTGTGCATTACAGGCAGAAGGCGCGCAATGCTTGCGAGCACAGGGTCAAATACGTGTTAACGTCACGCATGCACACTTTACACAGCTCCTTGCACTGGGTGTGGTCACTGCATGGGCAGCTCCCCACCACCACTCTGCAGCCTGCACGTGACCATGGCTGCAGCCGAGGGCTCGCTCCTGTGCTGGCTGCGTGGCCAAGGCCAAGGGTGGCCACTGCCAGGCTTGGTTTCTGAGGTACAGAGGCATGAACTCCATGACATGCAGGAAGGCTATGCCCGTGAGGCCCATCTGGGAACCCCCTTTCCCTGGGCCCGAGCCCCCGCCTCAGGCAGGACACTGCTCTGGGCTGACACCCCTGCCCACACATCCCGAGGGGGCATCCCAGTGCTTACTCAAAGTCCCCGTCTCGGTACTTGCCGAAGGCCTGGAGGACCACGGTACTAACGGCCATGAGTGGCTTCACCACACAGAACTGCAAGGTGGCCTGAGGAGAGAAAGGACAAGGTGTGGCACTGGGGATGAATACCTGAGCTGCATGCCGGGGACAGAGGGGAAGCCCCATGTCCTCCCCTTAGGCTTAGGAACTGCCTGGGACACAAGATGAGGCCAAGGCAGCACAGTGACAGGGGAGAGGCCAGGGAGCTGGGCAAAGACCAGGGCTGTCACACCAAGACCCAGAGGCAGAGGGGACAGGGCCAAGGGAGGAACAGCAGGGGAGGTGGCTGGGGAGGTGGGCAGTCCAGGCCCCGAGAGCCTCAGGGACGAAGCCAGGCCCTGCCACAGAACTGGTCCCACAGGGAGCAGGGTGTACGAGTGTCCCTTTCCTTCCTCCCTGCCCACTCAGGCCTGGTTCCCTGTCCCACACCCTGGGGCTGGTGGGTACCCTAAAACAGCTGTGGCCTATGGCAGGCGTCAAGCGAGGCGGCAGCTTCACAAAGCATACAGTAATTCTGGCCTCCAGCCTGGGCCACTCCCTGCCATGAGGCTCCGTCACCCAGGTTCTGAGCGACAGAAGGGCTGTCACCAGTGTCCCCGTCACAGGGACTCTGCCACGGGGACAGGAGCAGACAGCACTGCCCCACCTTCCCACTCTCAGCCCAGGCTGCTGACCCCGGCTCAGGTTTTCACGACCCCGCTATGGAGGTCCTTATAAACAGGCACCCACAACACCCAGAACAACACCTCTAGGGTCACCTCTCTGTTAAGGACAAGTGCACTGAAGCCAGGAGGCCCCATCTGAGGAGGTGGGCAGAGCTGCCACCCCTTCAGCCCAGCTGAGTGTGAGTCCTAATTAGGTAGGCAGCCAGGCAGGGCAAGGCAACTGACCGGCTGATCTTGTGCCAGCCAGTGCTGGGGACCTGGGCCAGAGGCAGCAGTGTCTTGTTGTGGCTACCAGAAAGTGGAATAGAATACCTCACCCCCTCCCCAGTCTCATTATCCAGCCTGAAGGAAACAAAGTGTGAAGGATGCATCCCCAGCCTGGTGAGCCAAGTGCTTTCCTGGGTCGACTTCCTGGGTGCCCACAGCAGCCCCTAATGCAGGTGTCAGCATCACTGCCCATGTGACACGGGGACACTGAGGCATGGGGGCACTGCAGTGGCTGAAGCAGGCCCAGCGCCGTTCCCTGCACCACACCACCCCAAGCTGGTTGCATAGGTCTTTCCCACACCAGGCTGGACACCAGGGTCATTGGGGCTTCCAAGGCAATGCCTTCCCAGAGCTGCCTGCGGGGAACGTCTGCTTGCTAAGGACTCCTGAGCTGAATTGGCTGGAGTCACACAAGGGTCCTCTCTGCCCCACGTCCTCTCAGGCTAGGTGGGAGATGGTTCTTCTCTTTCCTCTGCCACCTCTCTCGTGGACAGCAGAGTGTACAGGTCCACAGGGCAGGGGAATGATTCATCCAAGTGAGCGGCTGGTGACTGGCACATGAAAACTTCATAGACAACACGGCTATGGAGTCAGGCGGTGAGTTACGGCTGACCCCACTGCTAGCAATGACTGACCACCCCACCCTGAGCCCTGGGCAGCTCTCTGCCTCCACATGTTGAATTCACAACAGATTCCCTGAGGCAGAGCATTCTGAAAGTGGAACTGGAGTCTACATGTCCAGGTGGAAACCCCATGTGCCAGGCTCCCGCAGCAGAGGCAGCAGATGGGCCAGCTCCTTTGGCAAGTCACGGTCCCTGACCCAGCTGCAGGTCTCACTTCCCCTCAGGACTACATTTGGGCTATAGTGGGGCATGGGGTTGGGCTGGCCAAGGAGCTGGGCACAGGGTCATGAAGGCTGGCAGTGGCATCTGTGGAAGACAGCTCCTAGCTCTGCGCCAGCACGAGGTCAAGCATGTGGCATCTGTGACCTCCTCTGTTCCTTCCAGCTGCCCACACCTGGCCACAAGGGAAAGATCAGTATTTCCACTTTACCAAAGGGGAAGCTGGTGCTTCGAGAGGCAGAGTAAAGGCCCACACACATGACATGGCCACCATGCCGTCTCCGGTAGGGCCAGGCTACTGCAGACCACAGGGAGGACAGCCAACGGAAGCCGAAAGCTGCTGGACCCCGCCCTCCCCCCGCCCGGGGATGCGTGGGGAGAGAGATGACACCTGGCCAGGCCTGCTGTCATGCTGCCTCCATGCTGAAAGCTTCCTGCCCTTTAACCACGGATGCCGAGCATTCACACTTGGGCCAGGCCCTTGTTCACACACATCAAAATGAGCAAGTCTTGAGTCAGGTCTATCTGCCCAGTTTGCCACCTGATGCTCCCAGGATACTGACTGTTGCCATATGAGCACACCCTGGCCAATATGATGCCTCCTTAATAGGTTGGTGGAGGCAGCTGTCACAGGTTTACGGTGCTTCCTCAGTAATACAGGCGCTGTTGCTGTGGCATAGCTGGTTAGACATCGTCTGCAGCACCAGCATCCCAAATGAACACCAGTTTGAGTCCCAGCTGCTCCACTTCCCATCCAGCTCCCTGTTAATACATCTGGGAAGGCAGTGGAGGATGGCCCAAGTGCTCCCAAGTGGGAGATCAGGAAATAGTGCCTGGTTCCTGGCTTCAGACTGGCTCGGCTCTGGCCGTTGCAGCCATTTGGGGAGTGAACCAGTAGATGGATGATCTCTCTTTCTTTAGCTCTCTCTCTTCCTGTAATCTGCCTTTCTGATGCTCCCTCCTAGTCCGCGGACGTACCTGTTTGCAGAAGCGCAGGAATCCAATGGAGTAGGTCTTTCCCCAGAGGCAGCAGGTACCATACATACAGCTGGACCTGGAAGAGACCAGCACAGCCAAGGGGTTGGGGAAGGCAGGGATAGGGCAGGCTGCCTCCTTCCCCATCCAGAACCACCGAAGCACAGACAAGGTGTGGCCTGTAAGCCCAAGGCCAAAGCCCCAGAAAGGTGCAGCACAGTGACTGCTCAGGCCCCGGATTGACCAACCAAGCCAGAAAGCATCAACTGTGAAAGCTGGACAGACAGGAAGGCACCAGGGTAACGGGGAGGAAGCATGAGAGAGCAAGTCAGCACTCCAGGTGAATGGCCCAGCTCAGGCAGGCTGGGCCGAGCCAGTAGGCCATGGTCACGGGAAGGCCAGGATAGCTCAAGAATGCTAGGCCCAGGGGAGGGGGGCCACAGGGAGCCCGTGTACTCACTCAATGGGCTTTCCTCTGATCTCGGACATAATGGAACTTTCTCCGCCAAGGTACTCATAGCACAGGCTCAGGAAGTTGTAGATGACCAAGGCTGTGGAGAGAGGGTTGAGGAGGCCACTCAAGTCAGCAGGTGGCGTTCTTAACAACCACTGCGAACGAGAGCTGCAGTAGGGAGGGGATGGGACAAGAGCTGAGGACGTAGGGCAGAGGAGAGGAGAAGGCCAAAGGGAGGGTCAGAAAGGGCTGGGGAGGGAGCATTTAAGTTGCTACTTGGGGCACCCTTATAGGAATGCCTGGTTTGGGTCCTGGCCCCTTTACTTCTGATCTAGCTTCCTGTTAGCATGATCCTGGAAGGCAGCAGAGAATGACTCAAAAGAGTTGGGTTCCTGCCACCCACACTCAGATGAGGGTCTGGGCTACCGGCTGCAGCCCGGCTCAGCCCTGGCTGTTGCGGGCATTTGAAGAGTAATCCAGTGGATAAGCTGAGACAGAGAGATTGAGATTCAAATAAAAGGAAAACAAATGAACCAAGTCCAGCAGGGCTAGCAGGGCCAGGGGAGCCCCAGCAGCCCTACAGCCAGGAGGACTCTGACTACCTGTTGACCTCTGCAGTGTCCCCCGCCATTTCCTCATGGCACTGAGTGTTGCTCTGGTCCTTGGAGCCAGTTCTTCTTGCCTTGCTGTGCCCACCCTCAGACCCCATAGCCACGTGGTGAGAGAGCACAAGGCAGCCCATGGGGCAGACGGCACGGGGGGACTGAGGGCCCATGGCACAACTGCCTGGACATGTGAAGAAGCCTAGGGGGCACCCGCCCCAGCCATCAGCACTCCCATGAGGCCTGTCTCAATGTCTGACCCCAAGGATCTGTGATCAAGATCAGCTCTGCCTGGGGCTTGACTTGGGCCGTGTGCTTCCTCACTTAGCCATGGCAGCCACATCACATACAGCTTCAGGGGAGGTTCCTGGGTGTGCCAAGCTCTTCCCACACTTCCACAAGGTGGCATCTGTTGCGTGTCCGTCACCACATTCATTCCTGTGGCAACCTGGCTCCTTCTGTCTGACCCTTCCAGGTCAGGGGCAGCAAAGGGCGGGGATCATGGTCCCTAGCACAGCAGCCAGACTGCCTGGTGGTGGCTTGTGGCTTCACCTGCTAGGAGCTGCTAGGAGCATCAGCGTCCTAGTTTCCATAGCTACACGACGGGGATGATTTGCTGGGGTTGTGGGAAGCTGAGGACTAGGCTGTCCATAGGGCATGGCTCCTGGTTTCTCCCAATGGGTAGGAACTGAATTCACCTCCCACCCCGACTACCAGAGGTCCTGGCACCTTCGGTCACTCAGATGTACCCTTACAGACGGATAGGCACAAGCACAATACCAGGTGGTGGCTGGGGTGACAACAGGAGGGACAGACGGCCTACCCCTGCTGTAGGCACACTCTCCCCACAGGTGGGAGAAAGCCTCACCTTTCCCCCAGGGTGTGTGTGGGGAGCCCCAGGTTGCCTCCCCCTTTCTGAGCAGGGCTGGCATCTGAGCTCACAACCCTCCCTCCCCTTGTCCAGGCCTGCAGTAGCACTCCCCTGCTGGGCGTGGCTCTCCTCGGCACTCAGCTGGTCAGAACTACCATCTTTCGCCTGTCCTCCTCAGTCCAAGGTCCTTTTCAAGGTGCTCCAGGGGCCACATGGTCTGGACAGTGCAATGTGCTGGCGGCTCCCCTAAAAGAATCCCTGGTGTGTCAGGCCTGGGCTCGGTAACTCCCAGCAGCATGACAGCCTCCTCGGATGGGACTCCACCAAATGCCAGGTCCAATGGCCATGTGGACCCATGGATCCCCTCCAAGGAAATGACAGAACCGTGCCAAACACCCCCGGTAAACAACTTGCACCCTAGAAACACACAAACACTCACACACGCAGAAGGGCAGAGGAACGGGAACATGCTACGCAGCAGGGAGCCAGCGGCCTGTCCCCTTGCCACCTTCTGCCAAGGACAGCCTGGCCTTGCAGAGACCTCACAGAGGGGCCTCCACCTTCCCTCCTCCACAGCCTCTGCAGCCAGGACAGGAAGCTGAGGTCCAGGGACTCCTCTCCACTGGCCTCTGACTGGGGTCCCCTGGAAACAGCCACTGTGGCAGCACAGCCCCAGGGTAGAGGACCTGCCAAGTGCCCGGCAGTCATGACTGTTAGCAGCCCCATGTCAGCAAGTGGTTGCAGTGCACAGCCCCATCACTGGCTGCACTGTGCTGTGGCACTGTGTGGCAGAACCCTTGTAGGCTTGGGGTCTTGCACACAGAAGTACCCTGAGCTCAGCCCCTTGGCCCACCTTCAGCACAGAAATGCTCTGGTAGCAGGAAAGACAGTGAGAGGACGTGCCTCCATCTTGGCTGCGGCTGGCCTGTGTCCAGGGGCCGAAGCCTGCTCCCCAGCATGGCTCGGTGTAGATGAAGCGGGACCCATTGCATTTGGGGCTGAGTGGGAGCTGAGTGGGATATGGGGGCTAGATGCTGTGGGAGTGGGCCGCTGCTGTGGGTCATGCTCCCTGGCTCCCATCTCGTCTTGCCACGGTGATGCCATCAGGCAGGAGGCCTTTGGCGGCGACGCCAAAGCTGTGAGCAAATACACCTTTCCTCCTGTGATGGGCTCAGCCACTCATGTCCCATGAGTCCACTTCACCCCTTCTTGGCAGCTGTGGCCATCATGGACAACAGCGGGTATACCACGCTCTGGCCAGGTGGGCAGGACACCCTCAAGCCTGGGCTCCCAAGGGGTCGCTCTCTCCTCAGCTCTGCCCTCAGAGCATCCATGCCTTGCTGACCCTGTTGGTTCTTGCTTCTAGATGCCCCCACTACTTTCTCTGATGTCTTTATTCCAATGGCTTCCTTCTAATATTCTGCTCAGCTTCAGTGTTTGCGATCCTTGGCTGGACTTGTCAGAGCCCGGCCAGCCAGGGGCACTTGCGTGCCCACAGGCCTCTGTCCCTGCCCTTCTGTGGTCCTCAGCCAGTTCACCTTGGTTGCACCTGTTTTAGCAGGGAAGAGGTTTCACCTCCGGGCCAAGTGCCAGGAAGCAAAAGCTTGCCAGTCCGAGACAGGGTGAAGGCAGCATCACCTTCCAGGTGCTTTTTCTATCCCTATAAGATCTCTTTCTCCCCCACAAGGGTTCCCCCTTTTCCAGCATTGAGGCCTACCCTCTTCTGTGCCTGACATGGACTCCCTTAGCACCCCGAGACCTGGGATCTGCTACTGCTGGGCAAGTTTCGTAGCCTACTCAAGTTTGCTTTTCTTACTTGCGGAGTTGAAAATCTATGCCTCCAGGTAACCGGGAGATGAGAACAAGATAACGGTGGTGAAAAATAGGCAAAACATACAGTCAAGGCCAAAGAGATGTGACAGGGATGAACTGTGTGGCGAGGCCCTCGGGAAGCTTTGGCCCAAGGGACTCCGCGCAGCACAGAGACCCAGGGGTTGCCTTGTGAAAAGCTAAAGATGCAGAACACACGGGAAGCTTCCACAGGGAGACACGGGGTCAGCACCTTCAGGAGGGCAGAGATGGCCCAGCCCTGAGCACCCAGTCCGTCAAGGGCAGTGCCAACAAGCTGAGGGGCAAACAGGCAGGGTGACGGCCCCTGGTCTTGGCTCCAGCCCCATTTTCTCTTCCAGGTCACTAACAGGGTAAGTTTCCTGGGAGAAAGCAGGCCAGGACCTGAGAGCACTCACATGGTGTCTGCTTCCGCTACCGCAGGAAAAGGGCCTAGAAAACGTACCAAGCTCCCTCACTTGCTTGTAACCCCCGCAATTACAAGCCTGATTCTTGGATGTTAAAAGTTACCGAAGACTGATCCCTGAGGCCAAAGGCCAGCCAGGCACAGGCGTGGGTACAATGCAGTAGCAAAGCTGTGACTAACCCACTCAGGGGGAGAGGAGAAACGCTCTGTCCCAGGACAAGAATGAGGAGACATAAGATTGAGACCCGTGTGGGCGCTCGGCCTCGCAGGGACGATGCCTGCACCCCACGGCAAGGTCTGGACAGGAGCTTCAGCTCTGGCTCCTCAACTCTACTTTCCTGCTCACACAGACCCTGGGCGGCGACCCTGGGAGACCTGGACGGTTCTCTGTTTTGCCTTCCTGCCCAGCCCAGGGTCACTGTGGGTGTCTGAGGAGTAAACCAGAGGGTAGGAGCTCACTTGTGTGTGTTCTCTCTCAATTAATTAAATATGCAATTATTTGGAAGGCACAGTAAGATAGAGCAAGGAAGACACATAGGGTGAGAGAGATCTTCCACTCCCCAAATGGCTACAAAGGCCAGGGCTGAGCCGAATCTCCTACGTGAGTACAGGGGCCCCCAGCTCTTGGGCCATCCTCCACTGCTTTCCTAGGCCATTAGCAGGGAGCTGGGTTGGAAGTAGAGCAGCTCAGACAGGAACCAGCACCCATGTGGGATGCCAGCATCGCAAGGGACAATTTTACTCATTATGCCACAATGCAGGTTCCCTGTCTCGCAAACTGAAAATACACACACTCGTATATAGATATAAGCATGTATGTGTGTACGTATGTGTGTATGAGCCAGAGCTAATGATCTTTCACAACATAATGGAAATAAAATATTTGACAGAAAAATGTGATGGTTAAGCTTTTAAAACAAGCAAGAAAATTAGAAAAGCTACCAAAAAAGAACCAGAAAAATGTACAGAAAATATAAAGCTCAATTCAGGAATGCAGCATACCACTAACAGGAATCTGGAAGGTGAGAATGGAGGTGAGTGGAGGGGAAAACACTCTCGAAGAACATTCTGGAAAACCTCCCAGCACCTTGGGACAGGAGTCTCCGTGAGTACGGGCCCACCAGGCTGCCCAGCACAAAGACAACCCCAGTCCATGGATAAAACTGTGCAGGACAGGGGGGCGGAGGATGGGGGTGGTAGAAGGGCAGAGGAGGAGAGGAGAAGGAAGGGGAGGAGGAGGGAAGCAGGGTCACACAGAGGCACAAAGGGCCGGTGTCCACTGCACTTTCCAAGGCCACACCGGAAGCTGCAGTGGGAAAACAGGCCAGTGAACCCGGGGGGCGGGGGGATGCTGTGGAACTGGGCACGGTGCCTCCCGCAACACTGGCACACTGAGACTCAGCTGAGAAAAACAATGGAGGTTCCGAAAGAGAACTCCAGGCACCCCTGGGAGACCTGTGTCCCGTGCCCAGCAGATATGGTGGACAAGGAAGGGTCTCTGGGAAACAGGGGACCCAGGGCAGCAGACCGACTTCCCAGCCTAAAGGTGAAGGCCAAGTCAGACGACCGCCAAGCAATAGAGGTCTCAGCCACCAGGACCTAATAAAAGGCCATCCTTACTCCCAGAGCTGGGTTGCCGCTGAGTCCTTAAATTCAGCTGAAGTGTTTGTGAGTGAAGAAATGGCAGGCCCCTGCCTCCACCCCTCCAGTGCTGATGGCAGGACCTACAGAGTTAAGAAGCATCGTGTCAGGACTCTGGAAGCCCGAGTTTGCAGTGACCACATATGGATAACAAGGTGGGGAAAATGAACCTATGCCCACACTGACAGGATGAGGGAGACGTGTGAGGATGTGCGCATGCTCGGGGTAAGATATCCAACTCAAGCCTTCTCTGTTCAAGTCACCAGGAAACACTAGGTAAAGTGGAAAGAGATCAGATTCCAGTAGAAGTGGATGTTGAGGTTATTCTAGAGTGAACCAGCTGAGATAGCTACAAGTGCCATAAACATGGCAGCAAGGAAAACTCAAAACGATTTTGCATCTCCTACCATATACATATGCTTGCTCTTTAATAGAGTTATATTTTAGTGCTGGGCCTGGAATGGTAGCCTAGTGGCTAAAGTCCTCGCCTTGCAGGTGCTGGGATCCCATATGGGCGCCACTTCTAACCCCAGTGGCCCTGCTTCCCATTCAGTTCCCTGCTTGTGGTCTGGGAAAGCAGTGGAGGATGGCCCAGGGCCTTGGGACCCTGCACTCATGTGGGAGACTCGGAAGAAGCTCCTGGCTCCTGGCTTTGGATCAGCGCAGTTTCGGCTGTTGCGGCCACTTGGGGAGTGAATCAGCAGATGGAAGATCTTCCTCTCTGTATATCTGACTTTCCAATAAATAAATAAATCTCTAGAAGTTGTATTTTAGTGTTTTATTTTTGAGCATAATTGTGCCTTAAAAAACAAAAAAGAAGCAAAGAAACTGAGGCTAGTACTGTGGCTCAACAGGCTAACCCTCCACCTATCCCACATGGGCCCTGGTTTGCATCTTGGTTGCTCCACTTCCCATTCAGCTCCCCTGCTTGTGGCCTGGGAGAGCAGTGGAAAATGACCCAAGTCCTTGGGTCTCTGCACCTGTGTGGGAGACAAAGAAACTCCTGGCTTCGATTGGCTCAGATTCAGCTGTTGAGGCCATCTGGGAGTAAACTAGCAGACAGATCTTTCTCTCTTTATAAATCTGTCTTTTCAATCAAAATAAAGAAGGATGGAAGGAAGAAAGGACAGATAAACAGATGCAAGGACTGAAGCGCAGAATCAGGGAAGGAAGGAAGACTCGGTGCTGCAGTGGGATTCTGTGCCAGCCCTCAGCATGCGCTGGGTCTGAAACAGGAGCTGCTGGCCGGGCCACTGCTGTCCTCACCCCTCCCAGGGCCTGGGGGTAGGTCGGGGGACAGAGCCAGGGGCTCCCATGAGGCTCTGTGGGGCAACCACACAGCACCATCCCTAGCAGAAGGGTGGGAGGTGCGAGAAGGGGGTGCTGGCGCAGACGCTGAAAGCTGGGGAGTGGGGGAGTGGGGCTGCCTGGCCTCCAGGGCAGCTGCAAGCTGTCTGCAAACACCCTGGCAGGGGCCAGGAAGGGACGGTTGTGTTGCTAGGAGACATGCTTCTCGGGAGTTCGCTGGGTGCGAGGAGTCAGGTCAGGCAGGCAGGCGGAGCCTGAACAAAGAGGCTTCTGCGAGGGGGGCGAGGGGGGCGATGGGGACAAGGGGGACGGTGCAGGCAGCCATCTGCTGTCACCTCTGGGGCCCTAGAAAGGTGGGCAAAGGTTCCAGCCCACATTCCTGGCCCCTGGCCCGCCCACGAGAGCTTTCGCTTAGGTGGAAGGCCGTCCAGCTTCTGAAGGAACCAGGCAAGTAAGATGCCCCTGGGCACCCACATGAGGCTGGCAGCACATGCAGGAAGAGTCACGGTCTCTGCTTCCCTGGCTGTCCCCATTCTTGCAGTCCCGGGAGGTTTCTGGGCACATCGGACACCAGAGCCCCCATCAGGCCCTAAGCAGGCCCCCACGTGGCCCCAGCATTCCCATCTCAAAGGGAAGGGACAGGACCCATGTGAAAGAATGCCAGGCACACAGTAAGCAATTTAATAAGGCAATTTGCTCATTCAAAAAGTATAAAGTGGGAGCAGCTGCTGTGTTATAGCATACTAATCTTTCACCTGCGACACTGGCATTCCATATGAGCACCAGTTCAAGTCCTGGCTGCTCCACTTCTGAGCCTACCTCCTGATAATGCCCTGGGAAAGCAGCACAGGATGGGCCAAGCTCTTGGATCGCTGAACCCGTGTGAGCAACCCAAAGACGCTCCTGGCTCTTGTCTTTGGATCAGCTCAGCTCCAGCCATTGCAGCCATTTGGAGAGTGAGCCAGTGGATGGAAGATCTTTTTCTTTTTCCTTCTCTAACTTGACTTTTCCAATAAAAATAAATAAATCTTTAAAAAAAAATTATAAAGCGGGCCTGGCACTGTCAGGTTAAGCCACCACTTGCAATGCTGACACACCTATCAGAGTGCTGGTTTACATCGTGGCTGCTCCACTTCTGATCCAGCTCCCTGCTAACCCCCCTGGGAAGGCAGAGGAAGATGGTCCAAGTCCTGGGGTCCTGCACTCATAGAGGAGATTCAGATTGAGTTTCAGACTTCTGGTTTCAGCCTGGCCCAGCTCTAGCTATAGCAGCCATTTGGGGAGTGAACCAGCGGGTGGAAAAATCTCCCTCTAGCTCTCTGTCATTGCGCCTTTTCAAAGTCCCCCAAACCCACGGAGCCAGGGCTGGGAGCAGCTCTTCACGGTTGGCGAGGCAGAAAGCCGCCGGCCTCTATGGAATGAAAACCACATCTGTTCCCTGAACCAAGAGCCAGCAGCGGGCAGGTGGCAGGCTGGCGTCAGGGTGCAGACTGCTCATTTCTTGATTTTGTTTGGTTTTGTTTACTTGAGGCAGACGAAGAAAGGGAAAAAAATCCATCTACTAGTTTTTACCCAGACATTTGCAGCAGCCAGAACTGGGCCAGGCCGAAGCCCAAGCTGGCCCTCCATTGAGGTCTCCCCGATACTCAAGCCATCACCTGTTGACTCCCAGGGTCTGCACTGACAGCCACTGGAACCAGCCTCCAAAGCCGGGTGGGGCCCAGGTGCTGGGCAGTGCACCTCCGGTGCTGCCTCAAGCCCCTAAGACAGCAGCCCACTCAAAGCAGATCCTGGATGCAGAGCCCTCTCCGCTCTGCTCCATCCCTGCGGGCCTGTTCAGGGCAAACCCAAGTACAGGCCTGGGATCTGTCTCAGCACCTCTGGCCTCCCACTTCTCACTCACCCTCCACAAATCTGCCACTTCCAACCTTGCATACTTCTGTGGACCAAACATAGAAATGAGGAGTTGGTGTTGTGGAGTAGTGGACTAAGCCACTGCCTATGATGCCAGTAACCCCTTTGGGCACCATTTATGTCTTGGCTGCTCCACTTCCCATCCAGCTCACTGCTTGTGGCCTGGGAAAGCAGTGCAGGATGGCCCAAAGCCTTGGGACCATGCACCCATGTGGGAGACCTGGAAGAAGAGCTGGATTCAGATTGGCTCAGCTCCAGCCACTGTGGCAGGCTTGGCTCTTCCTACTTACCACCCTGTGCCCAGGCACAGTGGACTAGAGGAGCAGGTGACATTCCTACCACACCCATGACAGAGGGCCTGCAGAAGTGAGCGGCCTTTTTACTCAGCACAATAGGGCGATTCACAGGACAAAGCCCTTGGGAGAGAGACCCATGGGGCTGGAGGCCCAGCCCCGCTGCCAATCACTGGCTCAATCACTACTCAACTGTACCTGACCTTGCCTGGACATGGCCATGCTGCCCCTCCCCCAATCTGAGAAGCCCAAGGTGAGAAATGCACATGAGCAGAAGGTGCTGTTTGGAGGTGTCTGCCACGGGGCTACGGAGTGCACCTGTAGGTAGACTGTGGCACCTGCATGCTGTCACCAAGGCCCTGCAGGGAAGAATGGGGGTGGAGCATGCGGCCCCGAGGCTGGCAGGAGGGGTGTGTGCCCTGCGTGCCGCTGGCCCACGCGAGCCTCCCTTGTAACCCGCCCCTGCACACACTCGCGCTCACCCTCGTAGCAGTCGCGGACAGTGCCGAAGTACACGTAGTACTGGTCGTTGGTGAAGAAGAGCAGGCTGAGCCAGGAGTCGAAGGCGTAAATGGGCACGATGAAGAGGATGCGCACGATGTAGCGCTGCTCGTTGGGGCAGCTGTAGCAGCGCAGGTGCATGTAGATCTGGGGACGGAGGGCACAGCGTCAGCCTCAACTCTCACCACATCACGCCTGCTGCCCTGTCCAGGGACCCTCTGCCTTCTGCTCCAGGGGAAGACGAGCCTGGCCGGGGACACAGGGACACATTCTGCTCCTCCCCACAGTGCTGCTGCTAACCCTTCCTACAGCCTGCTGCGGGCTGCCCGCCAGGCCCCAGAGCCCGTGCTGCTCGGCTTCCTCACCTGCTGCACAGAGGCAGCACCAACGGCCTCCCCGAAGGAGGGGGCATCAGCTGAAGCTCTGACACAGCAACGGGCAAGACCAGAGCTACATGCCAATGTCAGGGACCTCCCTGGCTGGGACCCACTGCCCCAATGGCCCCTGGCAGGCAGAAGTGACAAGTGTTACTGCTGACTCCAGGTGCAAACTGCCCAGCGTGCAGTCTCCAACCTCGCACCTCCACTCCACTTCCTGTCATCAGAGCCCCTTGCAGCAGCATCAACAATGGAACCCTAAAACAGAACCTAGCCAGTGAGGGCCTCTGGGAGGCGAAGGCCCTGGTGTCACTGCAGGTGACATGGCCTGGCTTGGTTGTATACCACACAAACTCTCTCTTTCTCTCTCCTGGAAACCTCCAAGGACCCGGGGGAGGAGGGAGGCGGGCGGGAAGGGAACTACACACCTGGTGGCAGGTGACAAGCAGGGCTGTCCACACGAAGAAGCCAGAGATGGCCTGGGCGGCGGTGGTCATCAGGAACACGGGCTGCTCCATGGCTGTGGGACTGCCCTCGGGGATCGTGGAGACGCTGGGGGATGCAGCTGCAGTGGTGGGCGACGCCGGGCCAGGGGCCAGTGCGGCCCCCTTCACTGTCATGGTGCCCAGTGGTGGCAGCAGCAGGCTCCCTGGGCGGACAGGAGGAGCCCACCTGGGTAGAAGCAATGGCACTGTCAGCCTCCTCCTGGGCTTTGATACCCCATGTTGCCACATCATCCATCCCACCAGCCACTGGGGCCTGCAGCTCCCTGGGGCTTAACGAACAGGCCGCTGGGCAGGTTCTCAGCTTCTATCCTTGCCCTCATCACTGCTGCCCACACAGCAGCCTCGTAGGCCTCCCGTAAGCTTAGCCGAGACACCCCGCCTCTACTCAGTACTCTGTAACAGCACCCCTGTGGCTGTCTAAAGCCTGCTCTTGCCTCAGGGCCTTGGCACAGGCCATCTCTCTGCACACAGCCCACTGTCACCACTTCCTGTAGACCACCTGTTTCCATACAGCAAACTCCCAGGCACTCCTGACAGCTGGCTGCACCCAGCTAACTGCGTTCACGGCCACCCCAGCTAGAACCCAGGGCTCCCGGGAGTGAGGCTCCCGGCTTCCCACTGCTGTGCCTGCAGCACATGCAAGCTGCCCCTCATCCCTGAACCCCAGTGAGAGTAAGAGCACCTCTCCTGGGCCACTTCTTTCCAGCTGCTTTGCAGATGGCCTGGCTCCTGGCTAGTCTGCACCCCTCCAAACTGCCCGTCTTGTACCTCAGCTCCCCTCCCTCCTGCTGAGCGCCTCTGCCTACTCTAGCCAGACACCCCCCATGCTTCTGGCTTCCATCCTTCTGGCCTACGCCTTGACAACAAACCCCATTTCTGACCCAGGGTCCCCAGCACCTCGGTCGAACTGAACCTATTGCTTTTCACTTCTTACCTCAAGAAAAATTTTGCTTCTGCAAAAGCAGTCCAGGAAACTGACATAGGCAGGCAAGTTGGGGAGGATGCCTCCTGCCACAAGGGACATGAATGCCTTGCCAGAAAGGGGCCAGGTCCCAGGAGGGCTGTCAGGCCAGCCCTGGACCCTCCAGGAATGCGCTCCTGCATTCTTGACTACCTACCCCGGGGCAGTTGGGAGGGGCTGGTGGGATTCCTCATGAGTGGGATGGGCGCCCTCCTGAGGAAGGCCCCAGAGAGCCGCCGCAGCCCTTCAGCCATGCAAGTACACTTCTGTCCACAGCCAGGAGGCAGCTCTCCCCAGGTGCCCCAATCATGGAGAACAAGCCAGGGAGCTTACAGTGCGTTGCTGCAGTTCCAGGGGACTAGCCAGAAAGGGTGTGCTGAACCCTCCCACCAGGCGTGGGCACTGGCACCCTGGCATGAGTGCCTTTCACTGTTGCTCCGATTCACAGGCTGGCCGAGGCCCTCAGCCAACCACCCGGGAGCCCAGCTCTGTCCAGCCACCACCTCTGGCAAGGACCAAGCACAGCCACTCACTGCTGGAGCAGTCCCACAATGCGTGGACACAGGGAAGAGCCACACCACCAGCTAACCCTGCCTGGTGCCTCCAGGCAGGGACATGGGCCGAGGGCGTCTCCGCTGCCTGATTCCCAAATAGCCAAACCCCAAGTCCCAATCACCTCAGCCTGAAACCCACTCAAGTTGACCCAGGTGACTGAGTTTCAAGTTCATGATCTGATGGTCAAGGCAGACTATATGCTGCTGGGTTATCCCAGGGTGCAGCCGGCTGCGGGTACCCTGTAAGCAAGACACCTCCCTGCCCATAGCCTGCCCCCAACCTGCCCCACAGCCTGCCCATAGCCTGTCCCCCAGCCTCTCCCAGGCCTCCGGTGGCCTCTCCCCACATCTATCCCCCACGGGGGGTGAGTCTGCACCAAGCAGAGCTCCTTACGATTCTCCTTTCCTGATACAAATCATCTCTAACTCGCTGAGTGAGAGCTGAATCTAGACACAAAACTCAAAAGTGAAGACATCTATATAAAGAAACTCAAAAACGGAGAAGGCATCTATATAAAGATTTGTGGCAGCTCTGAAAATGCAACACAGTGACAGGCTAATAATAGTTCCTGCAAGTAAGGGTGCAAAGAGGAAAGCCAGTGCCAGGAAGGCTTCTTGAAACAGCAGATCTGGGTTCGAAGTCATCTTCTCTATCAGCTCAAACTAAATGAGCAACAGGAAAAGTGGGGAGGGGAGCAGAGGGAGTTCCAGGCGCTAGGAGGGCCAGGCCCCTAGGTCACAGCCTGACCTAGGGGCCTGGAGAGACCCTCCTCCCTGGCGTGGAGTCCCCACAGCAGCCAGGCTTTGGTCCCGAGCCTGAGCCAGAGCATCCAGTCAGCTTGCGAGATGAGGGTGAGGGATCCCCGTCCAGTTTCCTCCATTCCAGGGCCACACTTGACACTCATAGGTTTATGTTCCCCCAGAACCAAAGCCCAGACTTAACCTGGGGAGTGAATCAGCAGATGGAAAAGGGGTGCATGGGTGGGGGGATGGGCACACCATGTTACATCCCATTTGGATGCTGGTTCAATTCCTGGTTGCTTCGCCCCATCCAACCTTCTCCTAATGTGCCTGGGAGAGCAACAGAGGGTGGCCCAAGTGGTAGTCTCTGCACACACGTGGGAGACCAGGAAGAGGCTCCTGGCTTCCACCTGGCCACATGAGAAGTAAACCAGTGGATGAAGGATTGTCTCTCCCTTTCTCTATAATATTGCTTTTCAGATACAGACTTTTATCTTAAAAAAAAAAATCTGCCCAGCAGGTGCTCTGGCAGGTTCCGCCAGAGCTGCCTTCCTACCAGCCTGCAGTGCAGCCTTGGGCTGCCACACAGGGCACAGGAAGTCCCAGCCCCTGCTGTGGGCACTCATGGTTCCTCTGTGCCCCTGCTCCATGCCACAACTCCCCAGCTTGGTTGAAAGATGTGTGGTCACACAGGGAGGGAAGGTCCCGGGTAACAGGGACCCTCAAGGAGTAGGCTGAAGCTGTAACGTCCTGAGGCAAGATCCCACCTGACCCCACCGCCTGGGAGCTTGGAGGGGTGGCTCCTCACAGAACCCCAGTCTGCTGTAATAATTTAGGCTAACTGCATGATCGACAGGGCAATGCTCCAGTTTCCAGAAGTCCTGATAATACATGGAGAGAATAAAAGGTAGCTGCTCTGTACCTCCTGATTACACGGGTGCAGAGCTTTTGTTCCGCCCAGGGCCCATGGATATTTACAACAGCACTCACAGGCCACACAGTAAGATTAATTTAAAACAACAGGCTAAACCTCTGCCTACGGTGCCAGCTTCCCACATGGGCACTGGTTCATATCATAACCGTTCCACTTCTGATCCAGCTCCAAGCTTAAGTCCTGGGAAAGCAGCAGAGGACGGTCCAAGTCCTTTGTACCCTACACCCACATGGGAGACTAGAAGAAACTCCTGACTTCAGATCACTCGGCTCAGGTTGTTGCCGCCATCTGGGGAGTGGGCCAGTGGATAAAAGACCTCTCTGTGTGTCTCTCCTTCTTTCTCCATAAATCTGCCTTTCAAACAAAAAATAAATATATCTTTAAAAATAATAAAACACTGATAGGGGGCTCAGCGCCATGGCCTTGTGGCTAAAGTCCTCACCTTGAACATGCTGGGATCCCATATGGACACCGATTCTAATCCCTGTGGCCCCACTTCCCATCCAGCTCCCTGCTTGTGGCCTGGGAAAGCAGTCAAGAATGCCCAAAGCCTTGGGACCCTGCACCCGTGTGGGAGACCTGGAAGAAGTTCCTGGCTCCTGGCTTCAGATCAGCACAGCACTGGCCGTTGCACTCGGGCAATGAACCATCAGATGGAAGATCTTCCTCTCTGTCTCTCCTCCTCTCTGTATATCTGACTTTGTAGTGAAAATAAAATAAATCTTCTTTTAAAAGTTTTATTTATTTGTTTTAATTGTTATTAACATTGTATTATGTGATACAGTTTTATAGGCACTGGTTTTCCCCCCACCCCTCCCATACCCCTCCCCCCATAGTAGATTCCTCCACCTTGCTGCATAACCACAGTTCAAGTTCAGTTGAGATTCCTTCATTGCAAGCATATATCTAGCATAAAGTCCAGCATCTTATTGTCCAGATAAGTTCAGTGGCTTCTTGGAGAGACCTTCTCTGGTCTGAAGGTAGAGCTAACAGAGTAAAGCTAAAAGAGTAAAGTAAAAAAATAAAAAAGACTGATTGGAAACTCTATAACAGAAGGACCATGTAGCACCCTTTGGGTCAAGGTCAGCATCCCTAAGGTGCTTTGGCCACCACAGTTTTAGGCCTCCTGACGGACAAAAGGGCACACCTCCCCACCAGGAAAGGACTCCCCCAGAACATAAACTGGAACCTAGTCAGCGGCCAGAACTCATGAGGAGGGTGGCTGTTCAGTGCGGCGGTCAGCTTGCTCAGGGCACTGGCACCCTACATGGGAGGGCCTGGGTTTGAATCCTGGCTCAGCTTCTAAATCTAACACGCACCTGGGAGGCAGTGGTGATGGTTCAAGTGGCTGGGTCCCTGCCAGCCAGCTGGGAGACTCAAGCTGAGTTCCTGGCTCCTGGCCTCCGTCTGACCCAGTGTCAGCTGCTGCAGACCTTTGGGGAATGAACCAGTAGATGACAGATCTTACTCTCAAATGAATAAAACTTAAAAAAAGAGAGTAAAACTAATGCTTAAAAAAGAAAAAAGTCAACAGTAAAAAACAAAACAGGGGGCTGGCACAATGGCTGGATCTTCACCTTGCAAGTGCCAAGGATCCCTTATGGGCACCAGTTCATGTCCCAGCTGATCCACTTCCCATCCAGCTTCCTGCTTATGGCCTAAGAAAGCAATGGAGGCCAGCCCAAATCCTTAGGACCCTGTACCTGTGTGGGAGACCCAGAAGGCATTCCTGGCTTTGGATTGGCTCAGCTCTGATCATTGCAGCCATTTGGGGAGTGAACCAGAGTATAGTGGAATCCTCCTCTCATAAACCGGTGCCCACATGGGATCCTGATGCTTACAAGGACTTAGCCATTGAGTCATGGCGCCAGGCACAACACACTGTGTCTGCATTTGATCTTATCAGGGAGTAACACGCCAGTGTTTAGAACTTGATATGTGGTGACAGGCTTAAATTCTTGGGGCCTGGCGCGGTG